GGGCTTGGGAGTCAGAGGGAAGAGGTAAGACTCCTCCCCCGATAGGATCTTATTTAAAATAATTTTTAAAAAGACAAATGGAAGAAAAGTGAAAGGAGGGGGTAAAGGGAATGGAGCATGTCTGGCCTCAAATATAAGAAATCTGTGAAAGGCAGGCTAGCTTAATCTGTAAGGATCCAGAGAGCAAATTTGGATCCATGGGTGGAAATTCTTGGAAGACAGCATCTTGGCTCAACTATTAGAAAGAAAAAGATCTTTCTAATAATGAGCACTTTCAAGGAAAATAAGGTAGTGAGCCCTCTGTCACTAGGGAGTGTGTAAACAGAACACCCACCTGCCTATAATGCTGTAGAGGGATTAATCTTGGCTTTAGGTGGGTGGCTCAACCAGACAATTTCCATTCTGCGGTTCTATGAAATGCCAAGGAAGGGCGAGGGAGGCGGAGCGCTCTGCACAGAGGAGGGGACTTCTCTCCCCCTGGCTGTTCAGGGAGACACTGCAGTGTGCTGCAGAGGTGGTGGAGCAGCAGGGTGCTGAGCTGCAGTGATGGACCCTGGGGGCTCTGCTCAGCCTGGTCAGTGCAGCACTGGCTTTCCCTTGAGCTCCACGGAGCAACCTGCACCTTCAGCCTTTGGGGTCAGAGGCTGTGAGGTGTGGGTAAGTGTGAGTGGAGGGAGAGCTGCAGAGAAGGGCAAGATTGCAGGTGAGCAGAAGAGGAAGGATCTGGTGTTGGCAGCCTGGAGTAAGGGGCAGGTTGGGGGCAGCTGTAGTCACAACAGCAGACTAGACAGGGATGAAGGTTGGTGAGGGGTGGAACAAGAGGGAAGTGTCAGGAACACCCCAGGATTCCAGGTGACTTGGTCCCTGTTACCCATTCAATCCAGGTCTAGAAGGGGCCTGTGGCTTGGGGTTGAAGCCACCAATTATGGTAAAGGGCATCTCCCTGGCTTGGTTTACGCTCCAGGGACCCAGAGAAGCTCTGGTACCTTCTCCCAGAGCAGAGGACCTGCCCCTAAGACCTGCTCACCCATCCATGCGTTACTCTCAGAAGCAGAGCCATGGGCCTGTCTCATGAGGACGGCTTTGGCTGCAGCAATCTGAACAAGGCAATGCCCAAAGGAGAGGAACAGGACTTGCATGGGGGCCCACACCTAGCCTTGGAAGAAAGCATTCTGACCATGGTGAGACATGTTCGCAGTGCTAACCTTAAAGAAGACGGGAGGCCTCACAGCTTGAAGGTTCTCTGATAGTTCCTCCTCCCCATGCACATACACTCACCGGCAGGCCCCCACCCCTCACCAAAGCCTTTCCCTCAGCCTTCGATTCCACTGGCATCTCCCAGCATGACTGCTGCTGCCCAGGGGGAGGGCAGAAAAGAGCTATGAGCTCACCCTCTTGCTAGCTCACCCTCGGGGAGCCCCTGGAAGGCATCGGGAATGGCTCTGGCTGTGGAGCCTCTGACAGGAAGGTGCTGGGTGAGCTTGTACGTATCACCTACCCACTCTGGGCAGCAGTTCTTTGGAGAATTCATAATATCTCTTCTACCCACCCCCGCCCCTCAATGCACTGAATAAAAACAGAAAAAAAAAAGTGTTTGTGAGGACATTTTTTTCTCCCCTCCTACTCAAAGCATCCCAGGGCACATTGTCAGTAATAACCCCTGCACATCCCCCCCAAAACCCCACAGCAACCACTTGGTGGACAAATGGATAGCTTCCTGCCTTTCTTCCTCATTTCTGCTTGGCCTGTGCTTCTGAGGGCCTAACTGTTGTCATGGCAACCCTTCACGTGGGTCCAGACACCTTCCGTGAGGAAGTGGGACTAGGAACTCCAGGTTTGTGGCTTCTTTCATACCTTGACCTTGGGCAGTTTTAGCTGTCCCACTTTGTCCTCTTTTGCTGGAGGACCAAAGGGGGGAAAACTGCATTTTGGAGAGTCAACAGACTAATTTTGCTTTAAGATTCTTAGGCCCAGGGCCAATGAGGTAGGAAGAGTGTGCTTTGGGATGTTATTGTAATATAACTGCTCTGCATTAATACAGGCTCTCTTTAAGCTGCCTGGGACATTTTCAAAGTCTTACTGATCACCTTAATGTGCCCATACCTACTGGGTAAGGATGAACCATGGGAGGGTCTCTTCAGTCACGAATGGGGAAACTGAGTCCCAGAGAAGGTCATAGAGCTTCAGACTTCTGAACGGGAGACTCAGGAATGAAGCCTTCCACCCTGCCCCAGACCCAGGCCAAAAGCCTGGTGGCCTTTCCTCCAGGAGCCAAACTGCCTGATGTGGACTATCAGGCCAGGGTCCAAAGGCATTTGATTCCTGGAATTAGCACATTTCCCCCAGGACCCACTCCTCAGTCTTCCAAGTTGCTATGGTTCCCCAGTGGGACCCTAGTTACTTGGCAGCTTCCAAGGTTAGGGAAGGAACAGAGAGCCTGCCTAGACCATCTGGGCTCCAGCTGATTTCTGGGAATGAGATGATAAGGTTTCAATTCTTCCCTTTTATTCTAGAAAGGCTCTTATTTGGGGTTGCCTTAACCCTCCCTGCCCAGCCCCTCACCCACCAGAGAGTGAAGCCCTTCAGCCTCTCTGTGGGGTCATCAGGGCAGCTCTGGTGGCCCATGCCCAGCAGACACCGCTTTGGGCAGATTCCTCTTTACTGCCTGACTCTCCCCTCTCAATCAGGACTCCTAGGAAGAGCCATGTCTTAGGACTCAGAGATAAACGCAGAATCTCTCTTCCATCATTAACTCATAGATGACTTTAAGGCCCTCAACCTTTTTGACCCTGCATTGCTGCAACTAGAAAGTGGAAGCGGTGTTCTCTCTTCACTTCCAAGGTTGTGAAAGGCTCCCGTGTAAGTATGCTTTGAGAAGTGACACCTGCTGAGCAGGAGTATAGCTCAGTTCTCCTCCTCTCCCACTCCCCTCCGCAGCCAGTTCTAGGACTACTTGTCAAGGTTTCTCTGTGGTTACTACCTCTTGAGAAGCAACTAAAAGAGCTTCAATGGGTAGCCAGCTCCTGGGCAGTGCAGGGACTTCCAGGTCTGGGGAGGGCCCAGATCAGCTAAGTCATCCTAAACTGAAGCCCTGACCTTGAAAATGGGGCTGTGCCCTCTGCTATTCCATGACACTCCCTTCCCCTTCCTAAGTGTCTCTCTCTCTCTCTCTCTCTTACACACACACACACACACACACACACACACACACACACACAATCCCATCCCCCAGTCTGCCTGGTACCTCATCCTCATGCCTCAGTCACAATTCAATTACTACCTCCTTAAAGAGGCCTAAGGCAGGCTTCCCCTTTCCAGTCCCTCTCTGTCACATGGTCCAATTTCATTTTCCCCATAACTCTCCTCTGGCCTAGAATTATTTCATTAATGTTTTCCCTTATTGTCTGTTTTGCCCCATTAGACCGCACGCCCCTCGAGGGCAGGGCCTGGGACAGGCTGGCCCCAGCACTGGGCACGGCGGCGGCAGAGGGAGGCTGCCCTATCAGCTTCAGCACCCACCCACCCCACCCCCACCTTGCCCTGCCGGCGCTGGGGCTTTCAGGAGGGGCTTTTGGAGGGAAGAGGCTGCTCTTCCCGTTTTTTGCTCTTGTCCAGTCTCCTGGTTGCCTCGTAAAGCCTATCTGCGGCCTCCTACGTGAGGATGGGTTCTTATCAGATCCAAATCCTTGCCCTTGGTCAGGGGACCGTCATCCTGGCCCACACCGGAGCCGGGGGGAACCCCCGGGAAGATGCAGCAGGCCGAACCGGTCTCCTCCAGCTTCGCATTCTCCAGGCCGCCAGATGAGCCCCTCCATCCATCCCCACCCTCCCAGTCCGTCACGGGGCCCCGCCCCTTCACACGCGCACGGACACGCCCCTTCCCAGCCCCCAGCGGGGCGGGAGCCTGCCGGGCACCCGGGAAGCTCGGGTCCCTCGGCGCCGGGGGACCCGCATCCCAGCCACCGCAAGTCCGCGCAGTCAAGGCGGCTCGCTCGGGCTCCAGGCCTCGCCGCCGTCCTCCCGTGGCCCCGGCACGGCCCGTGCGGCTCCTCTGGCACGGCAACCTTGTGCCCGGCACATCCCCAGTCTATCCCTCTCTGAGGGCAGGGGCTCTCCAGGGAAAGCAAGCGAGTTCCGGGGCCCGCTCCGGGTTTTTTTTTACAAGGACTCTTCAGGCTTGGAGAACAATGGAGCAGCTCTCAGCGCTTCCTCTACCCGAGAAAGCTTTGTTCCTCCCTTCCCGCCTGCTCGGCTTCCATCAGCCAAAGGGCAGAGGCTTCCCGGTCAACCTGGAGGCTCAGCGCAAAAGCTCAGACCTCCCATAAGTCCTAAAAGACTTGGGGGGTAGGGTTGGGGCCGGAGCCGGGGCTGAGCTATAGGACGCGCATCCAGATGCGCGCAGCTGGCTGTCCGCCCGTCCCCTGGCCCCAGAAGCTTCTCCTTGCCAGAACCCCCACACCCGGGAAACCAAACTCGCGCTTGCACCCGGATCCACAGAGGAAGTGGGGCCTCACCTCTGCTCGGGGGCCAACCAGCCCTCACATCTGCTCTCCCCACATCTGTCCTCTAGATCCAGGCTCTCATCGGACGCTCCCCTGGCAATGCTGGATGCTCTCTTGTTGAGAGCAGACCACACCACAACCGAGGTTTCCACCGGCCCCAGCTTTTGCCATATTAGGATTCTGGGCTTTAAAATTTTAGGAAAAAATTCTCTGTTGCTGAGAATCTATGGCCCCCACCCCATTGTCCAGCCTCACCTCAGGCAGACCAGAGTAGAGCCTGGGCCCCCGCCCCAGAACATCTTCAAGAAGACGCACTTTAGCCACGCGCATCTGGAGATGGGCCAGCTCCGCACATCTGGGTGCAATACCCCTCAAAACCTGACCCCTACGGGGAAGCGGGAAGGGGGACGGGGAGGGAGCTTGGCTTTCCGCACACCTTCCCCTACAGCTGGCCACGAGAAAGCCAGGGGCGGGGTGGGGCGGGGCGGCAGGACTTACCCAGCATCTGGCTGAAGAGCAGCTGCTCCAGGTCGCCCAGCACAGTCACCACAAGCTCAGGGTCCACCTTGAGGAAGGCGCGCTCCTCCTGGCCCTTGGCGGAGGGCACGGGCCCAGAGCCCTTTTGGGCCTTGGCCTTGCTGGAGAGCAGCTCGTCGTCCGATTTGCCGTCGTCGCTCACGGCCGCCTCCGGCGCCTTGCTGAGCGGCTTGACCTCCGCGTAGGGTCCGCGCGGGATCCGGCTCGGCTTTCCCAGGTTGGGCGCTAGCGGAGCCAGGGGGGTCTTGGTGCCGCCCGCCGGGCCACTCTTGGCCTGGAAAAGCGAGTGCTCCGACTTGGACAGCGTCTTGGACATCAGCGGAGCCTCGCGGCCCTTGGGCCCCAGCTTGCTCAAGCCCTTGGGCGCCTTGGCCATATCGTCGCTCCACTCGGGCTCATAGAGCTGCAGCTTCTTCTCGGAGTCCGTGAGGAACGAGAGGTTAGTGAGCGACTTCTGCTTGCGCAGGTTGGAGGCGGGCAGCCCGCCGGGGATCCGGCTGTCCACGCTGCCGGACTTGAAGACCTTCAGCTCCGCAGCGCTGGCCTTGGCCACGCCGCCGCCGCCGCCGCCGGGCGCCTTGGCGCGCTTGGGCAGCATGCCTCTGCCGTCGGCCGCCGCCGCCTTCCTGCCTGCGCCCCGC